CTCGAACAAAGCCTTGTAAACCGACATAAGATGAATCTGCAATAACTGTAGCGTCTTACCATCGTGTCGTATTATCGTGTCGTATTATCGTGGCGTATTACAATTTCAAAAGAATATTTTACGATTCAAAGTTCTGATATTCTTCGTTTATTCGCATTGTAATATTCCAATGTGGAGTCACACTTCAAATACGTTTCTCTCAGTATACAGGATGGGGTCTGGAATTTGCAGTACAACCGAGCAGTGGGTGAGTCTACGTGAAAAAATAAGAACAAAATTTGGTATAACATTTCTTTATCTGCGACTCCGTTTTCGGAAAAATCGATTTGTTGCGAACTACAGTAAATTCTCCCCAATTGTCCTTCGGTTTGTAAACAAAAATGGACAATTAGACATTCTCGATATGTGCGAGGGATAAAAAAACATTTTATTTTAATATTTCTATTTCATAAAATTCCTCATTTCATTCAAACTGTACGCATATAATTTATGGTTGTCAATATAAAAGAGCACTCAATTAAGGGAGACTCTATTGAGTATTTGTGGAAGCAACCGGTGTATGATAAACTAACGCAATTACTACATTTCAAATGGATTTAGAACGGAGCATTACGGATTAGGCATGCATGTATGACATCAACGCCCCCGTATTATATATCTGCAGGCCTGTTGCAACAAGCTTGCACATGACATATGGAAATTTCACGAATATCGTTATCGACGACCATACGATTGTAGCTAATCTTCCAAGATCGTCTTTAAACGGAACGGACTGTTCGTACATTTCCGGCAGTCGTTTCAGGATGTAAATTCTTCTTCATGAATGTAGAATAAAATCGCGTTGCCTACAAAATGAACAGTTTTCTTTAAAACAAATGAAAGCCGTGTCCACTTAATCTAATTTAAATTTAATCTTTGCAGACAAATTTTCTTCACGGTTGCAACGATTAAAGCTTTCTCGATTGTTGATAATTATTTAGAACAAAAACGTAATTTATATTCATCTCCATTACATTGCAAACATTTCTGATAACTAGACTGCAGATTTTGTGCGTTTATGGCAAAATTGAGTACATGAAATATAAAATTGTGTAGATGTAAAAAGAATTTAATAATATTGTAATACTATTTACAACTTATTAATTTACGTTTATTTCATTTCTGTTTGTTACAATTGTCTTGGTGAATCATTAATATGCGTATAAATCCGCAGTTTACTGATAACGTTTTTTATCATTCTCGTAACCGCGTTTAAATTTGTTGTATTTATCGCTGCAAATTCGAATATAATCATTCCTCTCAGATTCATCATCAAATGAGAGGGAATCATTTCTCCATAGAATTTAAAGAATTTGAATAAATTCTAGGAAAAGTATCATACTGGAATGTGCAGCATTTACTACAGAAAATTTAATGGAGTTATGAAAATAAAAAAAAAAGACGTTATCAGAAATATTCGCAATATAATGGAGAAAGGTTTGAACATCTTCATTAATAAAAACATTTTGTTAAAATATCTCGAAAACTAATTACTCTTTTGCCATGACACCCGAATTATTTTTTATGTAGAATGAAGAGAGGAATCGATCCGTGCAATCAAAACTATGCAATTCCATTTAGTGAAACGATGCTATTCTAGATGGCACACACACTGATGCACTTAAAACAGATCTAAGGGCTTACGAATGTAATGCTCTTAGAGCCATTTATCTTCCCTCTTTGGTATTTCATCGTAAACGCGTTAATAACGAAAACATTACCTGAAATAATTGAGTGAACCACCTTGTGTAACATTTTGTTCAATATAGATAGAATATAAGGTTGTGTCTACAACAATCGGTATTCTCATTTAACTTAACAGTGGCTAACAAGAAAGTTTCGCAGTTGCCAGCATCTGTGGACGAACAGACCCTCTCGAAACATTCGAAATCTGTTCTCTTCCTCGTAACAGCAAACGAGTTTCTCCTTTCCTTCATACCGAACTCGAGATCAACATAATGAGAAGCGGGAAAGTTCAAGGAGCATTGCTTACTAATCATCGTAAAGACAAAGCCGAAGTGATTGACTTCAAACGTTGCCAGGATAGAATGAGCCGAAGTATAACAGGCGAGACATTCGCGTAATTGTATGTCGCGCTGTGAATGTCGGTCAGAATTCACAAACATGCACGATATTTGTCAATTTGAAACCGCATTTGATCCCCTGGAATATGCAGGGTGTTTCACGCAACTTACACACCTCTGTAACTTCCAAAGTTACACGCGTTTGCACGAGAAAGCTTTGTACGCAAATGTTGCATTATTTATAGGGATACATTTTGCACTGTAGCAATTTTTTTCTATAGATTTGGAGATTTGATGGTCAACTTTGTTTTGTTTTTTTTAACGGAATGCTATATTTTTTATGACAAAATATGGGAGAATGTCGAATTCTGAGTAAAAAAGTGTCGACCTCCATTAATCCTAAACCTAATAACTAACGAGTAATATCACTTTATTTCTTGAAAATTTTATTCGTGCAACATCAAGTTGGAGATCACTATGCGAATCATCTGAATGAACAGATTAGGTATCGTCAGTATTTTTATTTTACATAAAATAGTTTTAAAACAGCTAAATGTACTCCATAATTATAACATAGTCGTTGGTATGCCGTGGAGAGTCGTCCAAATTGCATAACAGGTGCCCCATTACTCAGAACAGCTAGAACGTACACTCTTGTAGAGAAAGATTAAAAGAATTTAGTTTTACGTTCAGTAGTTCTAAAGTTTTTTCAGCTGTACAGTTTCCATGAATTGTTATTAACCTTAGATGGGTAGATTTCTTGCTACTGTAATATATATGTACATCCATATATCTTTTATTATTTTACGCTCGTCCATTCATCAATAGATATGCCGAATTTCTTGTTGTTTAATTTTAGTGTCTTTATTTTTTTTAATTAATTCTTTTTTTCTGCGAATAATAGCCCATCATTAATTGCGTTACATCCGACGAATTAGAAGGGAGAATAAATTCTTTAAACGATAAACCGTGTTTTATAAATTCACTTTTAGTGATTTGATGAAATGAAAATCGATTAACAGCTGCCAATTTCGATGTTATTTCTGACAAAATTGGTCGTCTAATAAATTTATTCATTGTTTCGTTGTCGTCTGAATATCGAAATTGTTTGACGGATTTAATATAAATGAAATATTAGGATATATAATATAATAAAATATTATGATTAACCAGATTATGCAAATAATAAATAAATAAAAATTACACCAAATAAATTATAGTAACACTAACAAATTTGACACCAACTGTCCACAAACGTAGACTGTCTGTTCACGCAGAATCACGAGCAAATCGATCGCTTGCACGTACACGATTGATTAGTAATATGCAATTTGAGTGAACTAAAAATTCACTTCCGAAAATATGTTATAAAGCAAACGAGACTCGGAAGAATTTTCCTAGATTTTAATTTCTCGGGAAATACCGTAACTTTTCGAGAAATGAGAAATAACCAATTATAAAATTTCTCGAGAAATTCTCGAGAAGGAACACTAGTTCGGACCTTCCCCATTAATTTGAAAGCAGCATTAAGTCGTTACGATTTTTTTCGCAAAGTTACAGCACTTTAAATGAAAAATGTGCCGCGGGCATTAGAATAATTCATGGCACACGAGGAGAAGGTTGCACGGTCGGACTCGTACCGAGATAATAAGTTTTATGTTACGAAGGGATACAGAATCTGTGGAACTGAGACAAATTTCACGTATTTTAAGCGACGAAATTGTAAAAGAACCGATGCAAGGTGATATGGAGCTTGTCATTTTTGGTATATAAATTAACGTTTTCCGACAAACACTATCAACACCGCCAAATGTAGAAACGATGCATGTAATTTACTATAATTCTAACAGTAAGTACAATACATCAGAATAACCGTGAAACGTTGTACGTACTTAATTTTATTAGAACGGACATTTCCGGTGTTACTTTTCGTGTAATTGATTTTAGTTGGTGGTTGCATATTTTTAGTGAATATTTGCATATTTTTCGTGCATAAATATCATACGTTTCTGGCATACCTAGGGATTATAATACATCCGCTAGCTACATCCGCTTATTTATTGCTAGGAAATTAGCCCCAATTTAATGTTAATTAATGTTTATCGATGTTAAATCTCGGAACATTGTCTAAATAATATTTTGTTCATCTCTACGAGCAATTACATTTTCATCTGAAATTCATTTAAAATTGTATGTGTTAGAGCTATGCGTTTCTTTAGTTTTGTATTTCTGTGCAATACGCGCGTTTTTCTCTCTAATTCCAGTTCAGATTGCTCTCTCTCTCTCTCTCTCTCTCTCTCTCTCTCTCTCTCTCTCGTAATTATTTGATTATTACAATAAACTGCTCAGTTTGTTCCCGCATGAAATTCCTAACAGCGTGAAGCGATTAAAAACAGATTTGGCATATCTGATGCGCAAGAAACCTAAACGCAGCATTCGAGTGCCATTTAAACTTCGACATTTCTTGCGCATAAATTTCCATGCTATTATACAAAACGACCGATTACTATTCGAAAGTTCGTAACGTAGACAGAAAAAGTCTTACGTTCTCAGAAAATTGTCAAACAGAGACAAATGATAACCATTCCACGTACAGCTACACAAAGGCAAAATTGAAAGCGTTGACTGGTCATCTCGAATTCCCCGTTCTGCCCGCTGTTGGATCGATATCAACGGGTGGTAGGAACCGCGAGCCGTCTCTATTTCACTTCGATATATAAAGGGTCCCCTGTGAATTACAAATAATGTCGAAATGTTAACAACACTATTGTATTTCGCTGGTCAGAAGATAGAATGACCGCTAATAATATCGGATGATTAGAACGACAGATTGCGAAAGTAAAATTTAACACATGTTCCTGGGAGCGATTTAGCACGACAGCCAATAATATTTATTCCAATATGTTATTTATTTTGTTGTCTCGTATTTTACATATTACGCTCGGAATTGGAAAATCTAAAAAGACAAAGTACGTACCTTCGACTCGCAACGTTTCTAGAACTCTGTGGTTTCCTTGAGTTTCGTACGAATTTTTCTCTGACGTTTGATACAGTTATGTGGAAATCTTACCTCTCAAACCTGAAGTATGGTTTACTCTCCGCAAGAGAGCATAGACCAGTCAGCAAGGTAATCTAGAAGATGATCCTTCTGAAGGATGCTTCTGACGAGGTATGCTTTTGCGTGTGGCTTCGCTCTTATCATCGCTCAGTAACTCCTTAGTTTTTGCGAATATCAACGTACTCGTTGCTATTTCGGAGAAAAAAATAAGTGAAACACGCACATCCCCGAGGAAACTTATGGTTTCACTTTTTGCCGCGTGAATTGCGTTCGAAATTCGCAAAATAATATGTGAATTGCGAGATGAAGGTTTTCGGAATAATATAATATTCTCGGATGAAGTTAAAATTGACTTATACTTCATTCAGTCGGTGGAATAATTGTTCGGCGAAAACCGAGCGAGGAGTTCAACAAGAATAACATGATTCCAACACTGAAGCACGGCGGCGGTTCGATCATGTTATCGGGATTTATGGCATAATTATGGCATTGAAACTACTATGGATAAGTTTAAATATCTCGATATTTTGAAGCCAAATTTGGAGTCTTCAGCCGAAAAATTGCAAATGCCATCGGTATACTACTTTCAACAGGACAATGAACCGAAGCATTTTTAGCACTAAAGGGAAGGTTAGCGAATCGGAGAGCGTGTTTAAGGTTACTATTAATGCAGTTTATCGAATTGCTATCGATGAGCGCGGGCGCGACTAGCGTGGTGTCGTAGGACTAGCAACTTAGGACAGACTGAGCTTTTTGAGTTGCGCGTTTGTCTCTTTTATAGTGGAAGAGAAGGAAGGAATAGGTGGACTTTCGTAGGAAAGGAGAAAGTTGGGAAAGTCCCGTGCGGGTCGAGGTGTCCAGATGTGAGGAGAATTGTTTTATTAGTGCGTGATTTTTAGGGAATTTTGAGGATTAGGAACGGTACTTGTTTTATTGCTAGCGGCCGCGCTCAGGTA